CTGCGTGAGTACAGCTCCAGCGCCCTTGCCGCTGCCGTCGGACGTGACGAATGTAGGCAGGCTCTGGTCGAACGGCTTCAGCGTCGGGCTTGCAGCTATCTTCAGCTTGACCTCGTTGAAAGCTCGGTTCGCTGTGTCGTCCCAGACGAACTTGGTGCCCTTCTTCAGCAGCCGGTACAGTGGATGGACGGTCTCGGCGTACCCAGGGACGAACCTGAGAAACCATCCACACATCCCCAGGAACGACTTCAGCTCCTTGGCGTTCTCCGGCGGTGGTGCGTCAGTCACGGCCTTGATCTGTGACTGCAGTGGTGTGACTCCCGACGCAGACAGCGTGAAGCCACAGAAGTCGACAGCTGCTTTGCTGAACACAGACTTCTCTCTGTTGACTGTCAAGTTGGCCTCCTTCAGTCGGGCCATGACGCGCCGAAGACGGTCGTCGTGTTCTTCCTGTGACACTCCCACGACCGCGACGTCGTCCATGTAGTGAACACATCCCGGGATGCCGTCCAGCAGGTTGTCCAGCAATCTCTGGAACGCAGATCCTGCCGAGACCAGACCAAACGGAACCCTCGTGAACCGTCGTAGGCCTCGGTGAGTCAGGAACGTGGTGAGCTGACGGGAAGCAGGCTCCAGCTCCAGCTGATGGTATGCGCTCTGCAGGTCGATAACTGTGAAGATGTTGCCCTTCAGCTGGTCTTGGAGCTCCTCTGCCGTCGGCAGGGGGTGAACTTCGGCGATGACCTGTCGATTCAGGTCCCTGAGATCCACGCAGATGCGCAGCTTCCCGTTCCTTTTCCTGCTGACGACCATCGGGTGAACCCAGTCGCTGACTTCGACCGGTTCGATGACTCCTTCCTCCTGGAGTCGGTCCAGCTCGCGGCTGACCTCTTCACGAACAGCATACGGGAGTCGGCGGAGCTTGTGACGCACCGGTACAGCATCAGGACGGAGAACAATCCTGTGCTGGTAGCCACGGACTGTCGTCAGTGAGCATATCTCGCCAGGGTCGGGCTGAGACGGTGGCGGTTCCGGGACTTCTGCGCTCCCAGTGACCGCCAGCTGATCGATTGCCCCACTCGCGGGGTGCAGGTTTACGTCCAACTGCTTCAGCAGGTCCAGTCCCATGACGGCTTCTTCACCGTCGGAATCTATGATGAAGAACTCTGTGTTGGCTCGCCATCCACGGTAGGTCACCAGCGCTGGCAGCGTGCCAAGCACTTGAAGCTGGTGTCGACCAAAACCGAACAGACGAGCAGACGTTCTATTGAGACGACTGCCTTTGAAGAGACGTCTGGCGATGCCGAGTCCTAAAGCGGACACCGTGGCACCCGTGTCAACTTGCAGATTCACGGTCTGCGTGATACCTGGTACCTCCATCTGTACTTCGCACATCATCTTATCGGTATTTGGTACGGCGCAGCAGAGAACAGTCAGCTCGTGACACCTTCTGTCGTCGTTCCGTTCACCAGACCAGCAGACCACGGCAAAGTGACCCGTCCGCCCACACTGCCTGCACGTGGCCCCGGTAGCGGGACACCGACCGCGCTCATTGTGCTGGCGCCGACCGCAGCTGGGGCACGTGTCCGGTTGCAGCTGGGCAGGTCCAGGGCGACGGTCAGCTTGCAACTGGGCAGGGGCGGGGCGGCGGTCGTCTTGCCGCCGGGCGGGTCGCCAGGGCCGGCGCCCGCGGCGCTGACGAGCGTCAGATATCTGATGCAGTGACTGCGCTCCGTCGGCGGCGGGCCGCGCCGGCCCGGCCATGGCGGTCGCCTCGCGTCGGGATCGCTCGAATGCCTCGGCGATCTCCAGAACGCGGTCCAGGGTCAGGCCCTTATCCTGCAGAAAACGCTCGCGGAGAATCGGATGCACTGTTGCTTCCACGACTTGGTCACGTATCATTGCGTCTGTCATTTGTCCAAACGAGCAGTTTACTGCCAGGCGGCGCAGCGCCGCCACGTAGTCGGCCGTCGGCTCGTGCGACTCTTGCCGTCGCTGCCGGAAGAAGAACCGCTCCGCGATCACGTTGACCTGAGGTTCATAAAACTCGGCGAGCTGCCGCTCAGCCGCATGGAACTCGTCTTCGTCTTCTCTCCTCGGCTGGACCGGTAGGGTACGGTACACCCGTTGCGCCTCGGCGCCGACACAGTGCAGAAGGAGAGCCGTCTTCCTCTCCGTGCTGTAGGCCTCACCTCCCAGGGCAGTCAGGTAGTTGTGGAAACTGAAAATCCAGTCACTCCAGGGCAGTGCTGGTTTTCCTGGTCTCGCCAGGAACGGAGTTGGCGGCGACACCCCCTCGACGTTCATCGTCGGTAGTATTCAGGATCTCATCCTCGTCGCCAGATGTAGTGTCCACCGCCGTCTCCGGGTTCCGATGTATTCTCACAAACTCGCGGTGCAGAACACTACGGCACTGCCGTGCTGTGCGGCCGGGCGGAGCCTCTCGACTGCTGGCTCTGACTGGAGCCGAGCAGGGTGCGGCCGCCTCACACTCGTATTACCGGGGCCCGATGCCGAGCCTCGGACACCCGATGCACTAGGTACTCGATACACTACAGTATGTATGCTTTTGTTTATGATTAGATGATGTTTTTGCCTAAGTTTGTTATGTTGAAGAGTGAACAAAAACATTCTAGTCAGATATTATAGTCAGTTATCAGTTGGTTGCGAATGTGGCGCAGGAATGTTGAGGAAACGAGGGTTATAATACCGTGTTGTGTCTTTTCAGTTTTTTACGTGGCATTGCGGATCTGGATGAATATACTGAATTAAAAGGAAAACTGATGTCCTATCCACATGCTGCTACAGTACCGCAAAACACGCGGGTACGGCGGGACAGTCTAACGTCCAGTTGGACATACATACTGCTCGGGGATCGGGGATACGGGGAGAAATACTGACTACTGAGCTGAGAAACATGCAGGACAGTATACGAGGGGCGTTCAAAAAGTTCTCGGCCCGACCATGAAGGAGCAGAGATACGACGTCGACTTATTAGACCAAAAACGTTCATTTAGTCAAATAACCAGCGTTTAGACCAAAAAAATTCGCGCAGCGCTTCGCGAGAGGCCCCTGGGTCTCCATAGCCAAGTGGGTTTTGGACACATCTGGCACGTCCAAGACGGCTGCTTTTGTCTCCTTGCCGTCAGCGAAGTTGGCACTGCTAAGCAATTTCCTTATGTTGGGGAAGAGGTGGCAACCTGAGGGTGCAAGGTACGAAGAAAAAAGTGGCTGTGACAACAACTCGAAGCCACAGCTCACTGCTTCGCTGATCGTCACCCTGCTCATGTGTGCTGGTGCGTGGTCCTGGATCAGGCGCACACTTTTAGTCAGCTTCCCTAGTCTCTCCTTGATATCTGCTGCTCGCTACTGTTATCGAAGGGAGGTGTAGCATTCATCATTAATTGTGCGCCCCTATTTTTGAAAGTTGACGAACAGAGCCCCGCCATCATCCAAAAATGCAACCACTGTCACCTTGCCGTCTGACTTTAACACGTCGCACACATTTGGTGGCCTTTACTCAGTGTGCTTCCACTTGTGCAACTCGGTCACGCCCTGAGGGTCAATGTGTGACACCCACAATCCCTCCACGGTAACAAGAAGTTCAATGAACTCTTTTGGATCTTCGATATAGGGGCCAAAATTTTGCGTTACGCCTCCTTTCGAGTTTGCCTTTCCTCTGGAGTCAGCAAACGGGGGATGCACCTTGCAGAGATCTTAAACATATTAATACGCTGTCGAAAAATGGCTTTGAGGAACCTAATAGACAACTACGCTTCTGCTGCGTTGTTTCAGACCAGAACATTCGTCATTTTTCACAAAGAAGTGCTTATTTTTCATATTTTCTTGAGTCAATGCTGTTGATGGCTGGCCACTGCGGGGGTGACCATTAATGATCTGTTGACCAAAATTGAACAGAGATGCCCACTTTTTGACGCTACTGTAAGAAAGACGAACTTCAACATGTGTTGGCACTAGCTTTTCGTGAATAACGTTTGGTGCACTTTTCTGCAATACATGAACCAAATCACTGTTCTATTCTGGGCGTCACCCATTCTGACCGGGAATAGCAAACTATGTTACGATTAATTAGCAGCCTGAACCAATCACAGGGCAGATTGGTTAATGGCTACGTAAGTGGACATCCCAATAACACATCATTGAACACACCGCGTTGCAGGCCGAAATTCCAACTCCTTCATGGTTGGGCCGAGAACTTTTTGAACGCCCCTCGTACTGAGATACAGTGGAATCCGCTAAATAAATCTACCTTCGTGACACGGTGTTTTGGATTTCTTAAACGGTTGCTTTTTAGCCGAAGTCTCTATGCTTCCATAGATAAATCCGTGAACAACTCAGGGGCCACAACAAGCGGTTGGATTTATTATCCGAGGATTTATTAAGCCGATTCTACTGTATATAAAACAGGTCCAATAGCCAGTGTGTTTCAACGTGACTTCCTACACCTATAAAATGAAATCCGGAGCGAAAGAATAGCCGCCGACGCCGCGGCTGCCGTTAGTAAGTCCTATAGCAAAATCATGTCTGGTATATCATGAAGAAAAAAAATACGGTTCCATGGCGTAAAGTGAGGGTTACTTACTGTAGTACCCCGAACCCCCATTTGAAATACGACTCTCGGGATGTCTAAAAAAAAAAACTGCCTTTATTTCGCTCCAGTAAGTAATGTCTGAATTGCCTTTCAACTGTACGAAGTGCGATAAACGCTTCAAAAGGAGAAAAGTAAAAATATGACTGCTCCAATAGAAGTATCCCGCAGTCTTCTTTCTTCCTTATGTTCAGTGGTGTCAAAAGCTAAAAAGCTAAAGATCGCCGGCAGTCAACGGTGTCAGCAGCCTCACCTAGACGTTAGCTGATGTAGTCCAGACGGCAGCCTCACCTGCACGTTAGCCGATCTGAATATGTTGTCCTGACGGCAGCCTCACCTGCACGTTGGCCGCGCTGATGTAGTCCTGATGTAGTCCTGACGGCAGCCTCACCTGCACGTTGGCCGCGCTGATGTAGTCCTGACACTGGTCCAGCAGCAGCGCCGACAGCTGGGCGCCGCCCAGAGCGGCCGACAGACGGCGCGCCGAGCCGGCCGCCGCCGAGCGCACGGAGGCCGCCGTCGGCCTGCAGAGCGCCAGCACCAGACCGCGGGCCACCGGGCCGTCCGCACCGGGCGCCCGGCCCAGTCGCTCGGCGTGCGTCAGCAGCAGCCGCTCACAGAGCTGACAGAGACACACCACGGCTGGAGGGAGAGAGAGAAATACAGTCAGCAGCCGCTCACAGAGCTGACACAGACACACCACGGCTGGGGGGAGAGAGAGAAATAACTAGTCTTTTTTTTTGAATATTTTTGGTGCCCGACTCGGGCTTTTGTCGTTAGTAGCACACATTCATACTGGGTTAGTACACTATATACACGGCAGTGGTACGAATCGTTTTCGGCACCCGCTACGCGGGACAGCCTTGACCGCACGCTTCCTGTCGCGTGCCCCAGGTGGCACCGCACTGGTGCGCACGCTGGGGCTATCCCGATTTCTCGGGCCCGGCAGGTCAGAGGGCTGCTCCGGGACATGAAGCGAGGCCGTGCCCTCTGGACATGTCACCGGACCGAAGGATCTGTTTAAAGGTGGATCAGGCCCGTGTACCTGCGGCCGGGGGCGCTGGTTGGCACAGCGTTAATCCCCACGACCGAGCGAACACTCCCCAGTTACTGCCATCTCCTGGGTAGGAGCCGGAGAAATAACTAGTCAGCAGTCGCTCACACAGCTGGCACGGCTGGGGACAGAAATTCAGACAGCAGCCACTCACGGAACCTGACACAGACCCACCAAGAAATACAGACAGCAGCCGCTCACAGAGCTGGCACAGACACACCACGGCTGGGGGGAGAGAAACAGAGTCAGCAGTCGCTCACAAAGCTGACAGAGATACACCACGGCTGGGGAGGGAAATAGGTACAGTCAGCAGCCGCTCACAGAGCTGACAGAGACACACCACGGATGGGGAGGGATATATAGACACACTTAGCAGCCGCTCACAGAGCAGACACAGTCCACAGACACACCGCAGCTAGGGAGAGAAAGACAGATAGCATCAGCGGATAACCTCCGCTAATACAGCACACCACCATTTAAGATATAGACGGCAGCGTAGACCAGCTTCGACATAACGAAATCAAACACATCCATACCAGTTCCATTAATGAAATAGGTAGGAAAAGATCATCGCCTGACAACTTACACATTCATTGGCAGCTCAGTCCCGCCAACCGAAAACGTTCGTCATAATTACCGTCGTCGCTGGCGGAGTTGATGAACTTCTCGTTGAAGAGTGTACGCTTCTCGTCTAGCACCAGGTTGAAGACGCTGTCGAGGTTGACGGAAGGGTCGGCGTCCGTCATGCGGGAGAGCAACAGGGCGGCCACCACGCCCTCAGACACCATGGGCAGCTGCCGAACACAGGGCAGCGTTATACGCAGGCAGTCGGTGGCCGGCGGTGAGGGCAGTGCTAACAGTATGTTGTGAGGCATCGCTACCAGGTGGGCCCTGGACAGTGGGCTTTTGTCCGTTGTAAAGCCAGCGTTACCTGTACTCTGCTATTGCTTTCCTGAGTGTTTTTGGCGATTGTGAGGGTACCGACCGTAACCTGCGTACTGTTACCAGTAAGATGGCGATAATTACACACTACACATGTTCTGTGAGTTCAGCATTACCTAATGTGTGCTGTTAACCGTGAAGAGACAAAATTACCTCGGTGCGAGCGACTTTAGCGAACTTTAACTGACTGAACGTCATCTGAGCGAACTATTTTCAACGACTGCCGTGAGGGCAGCGTTACCTGCGAGTTGCGAGAGCACCCCTCACCTGCGTGCTATTGGCAGCGGCGCGCTCCACGGTCTTGTTGAGCGGCTCGGCCAGCCCCTGCAAGCCCGGCAGGGCGGCGCCACGGTACGTCGTCTCCATACAGAGTAGCTGGCCCAGGCGCACGGCCGAGGTGGCCGACTTTTGACCCAGACACGTCTGAAGGAGACGGCGAGGGAGGGTGGTCAGTCAGACTCATGGGACGAAAATAAACGGCAGCTATGACAGCTCTGCTCAAACACCTTCTGTCTGTTGGGTATTACCACACGAAAAGAACGATACAAACTAAGTCTTGGCATCATTACTCTGGCAAATGGCTTTCACATCACGTATGAACGTCTGAGATAGCTCTATTGTTTGAACTGAGTTGTTTGGGTGAAGGCCGGGGAAGAGCGGTACGCGACGCGGTCTGACTGACCTGGAACCAGTCGGCCAGCTGCTGCGGCGGCTGTCCGGTGATTTTGGCACACCACCGCCGCAGCTGGGCGAGCGCCATCACCACGGTGCCCTCGTGAGCCTCCTGCTCAAACACCCTGAGCAGCGCGGCGGCAGCCGAGGACACCAGGCTCTGGGTGCTGCTGCCGGCCACACAACACTGAGACACGCCGCCGACCGCCTGCGAAACGGACAGCGACGAGCGTCACACGCCTGCACATAGTAATTCCTTTCTCGGTTCACCTGAAGTGTTTCATCCAGCCCCTCACTAATCGACTTTCTTCAGCCATGCCCATTATCAATTCTCATTTCTCCTCACAGAGAACAACCCCGTGCTCCTATCAAGCAGCCCACCTTGAGAACCGCTATCTTCTGGTCGGCCACGGTCAGTTTTCCGTCGGCTCCGTCCAGCACGGCCACCAGGCGAGCCAGCAGCTTCTCGACGGCCGAGGCGTCGCTGCAGCGGGCGGCCAGCGCCTCCAGCGCGCCCACCGCCTCATCGCGCGTCCGCTCATCCTTGCTATGCGCCTGAGCTGCGGGTGGGCCGGGCACGCACACGGTCACGTGAGGGTCAACACGCGGGATATAGGTGGATAGTGGTCCCGCTGAGCAGAGCGACAGGGAACCGATACTGCTGTAGGCGGGGAGGCAGGACTGCAACGCTGCTCTGTGCCGCCTAACCAGACAATCCCGATCGGCTCAATGCTGTGGGAGCGCCCTGCCAGCTCTGGCGTGTGGGTACTGGGTGAGTGGCTGTTGACAGCTCTGCAAACCGGTAAAGGGGGCGGGCACATTTTGTCAGCGATACCGGCGGCAGCCCTGCTGACCAAACAGGTGGTTAGCATTCTACCACTGGCTCGTTGGTCTAGGGGTATGATTCTCGCTTTGGGTGCGAGAGGTCCCGGGTTCAAATCCCGGACGAGCCCTGCGTTTAGTTAAGACCTGCCAGGCATGAGAAGCAGTTCCCATGAATTTAAATATACAAGGGTGTTTTGCTACTTAGGAGGAAGATGCTGTATATAACACTATGACCTTTAAATAACAACAGACCCGAAAACGCCTTCTGGCCTACCACCAGTTTCTCCAGCAACTGAGCTCGTTCTCAACATATTCAGTAATTTACTAAATGGCAGCACCCATATGGCATGTCATCCGTGAGCCGTTACCTAAACGTCATCGTCTCGGAGTGCCGGCGTCCGGTACGCTGAACGGTCTGACGCGTCTGACGTAAGCCAGCCGGTCCAGCCCGCCGGCCGGTCTGACCCAAATACCGGAACCGTTTGATTGGTCGCCGCACGGGTGAAAGGAACCACAGCTCGGCGCCGCAAATGGAGACTGCAACGCCCCACACAGCGGCTCGTTGGTCTAGGGGTATGATTCTCGCTTAGGGTGCGAGAGGTCCCGGGTTCAAATCCCGGACGAGCCCACTTCTTTGCACGCGAAACAAACTAATTCTGATCTTGGATTCAAAATACAGTCGAAATTCAGCCAAACCATTTTCCTCCCCAGTCGCGTTACAGCTCATTTAATGATTTAAGTTTGGTTCTTTCAACAATTCATTCATTCATTCATTGGTTCATTCATTGGTTCATTCATTGGTTCATTCATTGGTTCATTCATTGGTTCATTCATTGGTTCATTCATTGGTTCATTCATTGGTTCATTCATTGGTTCATTCATTGGTTCATTCATTGGTTCATTCATTGGTTCGTTCATTCATTGGTTCATTCATTCATTGGTTCATTCATTCATTGGTTCATTCATTCATTGGTTCATTCATTCATTGGTTCATTCATTCATTGGTTCATTCATTCATTGGTTCATTCATTCATTGGTTCATTCATTCATTGGTTCATTCATTCATTGGTTCATTCATTCATTGGTTCATTCATTCATTGGTTCATTCATTGGTTCATTCATTCATTGGTTCATTCATTGGTTCATTCATTCATCAGTTCATTCATTCATCAGTTCATTCATTCATTCATCAGTTCATTCATTCATTCATCAGTTCATTCATTCATTCATCAGTTCATTCATTCATTCATCAGTTCATTCATTCATCAGTTCATTTATTCATTGGTTCATTCATTCATTGGTTCATTCATTCATTGGTTCATTCATTCATTGGTTCATTCATTCATCAGTTCATTCATTCATCAGTTCATTCATTATCAGTTCATTCATTCATTTGTTCCTTTAATTGTGCATTCATTTACCGGTTCATTCAATTATTTGCTCATGCATTCATTGGGTCATTCCCTGTCCAACGTCCATTCATTCATTCATTCATTCATTGGTTCATTGGTTCATTAATTCATTTATTCATTGGCTCATTCACTCCATTCAATGGTTCGTGCATCGGTTCATTCATTCATACATAGTACATACATACACTAATTGATTCAACCACTCATTCGTTGGTTAATGCATCGGTTCATTAATGCATTCATTCATCTAGTTATTGATTCATTTATTTATTGTTAGTCATTCATTCACTTATTGATTCATCGATTCATTTGCTGGTTCATTCATCCATTCATTCACTATCCATGACCGCTTAAATGAAGGAATCGATCCATGGATGAATATTGTTGGGCTGAATTTAGTTCACATTTCAAAAGCCGGTCCCGTAGCTCAGTTGGTGGAGCGTTGGACTCCGCGTGGTGGGAGCACGCGTTCCCGGTTAAAACAGTCCGGGTTCGAAGCGCTACGGGGCTCTACATTTATGGGCCTCCTGACAGGTATGGCTGCGGTTGGTGGCAGGCCGTAGCCAGGCCAAGTCAGTGAGGGTACCGGCCGTGCGCGGCTATGTGCTCACGTTAAACTTTGGACTTTAAATTCTGCCATAAACCTGGAATTGCGCGATCGGAGGATAGAGGGCAGGGTCACCGCAACAAGCTTCCCTTAGCGGTGGCTCTCTCCTTGTAAATCCTTCCTATCAAAAGGTTCGGACTAAATTTATAAAAAAGCAAGTATAATTTGACATTTTTTTGCCTCGCCCTTCCCCTAGACCAACGAGCCGTCATTTAAGTTGTTGCTGTCTCCATCTGCGGCGCGTACCTTATTACACGGTTGACGGTATACACATCATTCTTCCCAAAAACGTTTTCCCAAGCGCCCTCATGAATGAATAAGATATTCTACTTATGGAACAAGTCAATGAATGAATCAATCAATCAATGATTTATTATTTCAAAAGGTTAATCAACGAATCATAATCGACATTTCGGGAGATAGCATAACTAGGATAATGGGTTGTGGGTGTTAGTGTTACGTGGTGTTATTGTCCTTTTTATAGTTGTTTACTTATTTACATATTTATTTATTTGTTTCTATTTTTGCCAAGAACGACGTGAAAAGTTTTAGCGAAAATGTCAAACTATTGCTGAATGATTAAAAAAGAGAAGTCATGAGTCCAACATTTTCAAATGGCCCATAGACCCAGAAATCGGCGTGAAAAAGTGTGGTTCGCAGACGAAAAAAAAAAACTTCAAGACGGCCACAGATGCAAAGTAGAAAATGATCACCCGGAATATTCAATCAGCAGTGTTTCAAGGCAAAAATATTGAACCAACTACCAGTTACCATGTTCTCGATAAAACTATAGCTTAACCCCCGCCCGTATAGGGGGGGTCGAACGGACCCCCCCGTCCCCCCCGGTTTTTCGCGAATAACTCGCGTAAAAAGCGGCCGATCGCGACGAAACTTTCAGTACGCTCGCGTTAATCAATTTTACACCTACCCTGAAATTTTCATGACCCTGACCCTAATGACCTTTGACCTGTGACCTACTTTTCGAGACCATGTTTGGCCGGAATCGCGATTCGGTTTATGTCAGCTCGCATTAGCAGCGCGTTTGCAGTCTTTTCGTGGTTTTAAGCGTTCAAATATGGGATATGATGTTGCTCCCATGCATGAGGGTGGGTGTCAAGGTCACCGGAAGGTCAAGTCAGGTCATTGACCTTTGATGACCTCGGATCACTTTTTCGAGTTTTACATGTTTCTAGGCCAGTTTTTGGAGCTGAATTCGAATTTAGCAACCATATAAACATTTACAAAGTAGTTTTGGTGCCTTCGTAACATGTTACGAAGCTGTCAGAGGCGGTTGCTACCTACTACGAATACCCTTACTGGTTGACCTGACCTGACCTGACCCGACCTGGCCTAAATGCATGAAGACATCATCTGTGATCAAAACTAACATGACATTCGTGATCAGCACCCCGAAAAACCCCATAGCAGCCACGCTTTACGACTTTCTAACAGGTCCCGATTTTCCCGACGTTTGGGTCATTGACCTGACCTGGAAGGTCAACCGATGACTTAGGACCTTTAACCCGCGCACCGACGGGGGTCTGCGCCAACTTAGTACCGACGGGGGGGGGGCGGATGACCGCCCCCCCCCCCTGAGATCTCGAGAACGAAGCAAGATAGCGACAAGCGGTAAACGGCATCGGATACGCACGGTCAAGATCTACAATTTTTACTAAGGTCATTTTCAGGTCAGGTCAAAGATGACGTCACAGGGGTCGAAAAAGTCAAAATGGCGGCGCTAAATATGGAGAGAGTTTTTCTCGAATAACTCTCGAATTAGTCAAGATAGGAGCAAACTAAGGGCATCATCGTGATCCTCTCGTCAATCCGCATCGAATGATATATATGTTGACCTCGAAAGGTCAAGGTCAAAGGTTGACCTCAGGTCACGTGACCTCGAGGTCATCATGTATATCATTCGATGCGTCTTGACGAGCTGAACACAATGAGACCATCCACGCGTCTGTATCTTGTTCCTGTACGGAGTTATTGGCCAAAAACCTTTGGTGACCTTTGATGACGTCACATGACCTCACAGCTGCCCAACAGCAAAACAGACCTCAAGGTAGTGAAGGTTGATCGTATATGAAGTCATGTATGGTATATGGGGCCATTCCGACCCGTTTTAGTGGTAAAAACAGGGAGTTGATTTTTCCCCCATTGACTTATAATGGGGAGGTCACGAAATTGACCTGACCTTAGGTCACCGCTATCAAAATTCCGAGATATACAAATTGTAGCTACTAATGACCTAATAACATCCTGCGACTTTCAAAGGCCTCCGACATCTACTGTAGCTCTGGCACGGTGACAAAGTTGCAAAAAAGTGACTTGAGGTTGGGTCATTCAAAGTGACCTGGTGACCTGACCTTGAAAGGTAGGAGGTTCAAACTTGCACACCATGTGTAAAATTGATAAGGGAATAGTCATACCAAATTTCGCGGCGCTACGCGCCGCGGTTTTCCCGCTATTCGCGAAAAACCTCAGGGGGGGGCGGATATCCGCCCCCCCCCCCCGTCGGTGCGCGGGTTAAATTGGGTATCATTGGCTTCCTCCCGTCACGGGCAACACGCTCGTTTTTTCCGCGAAACTCTAGCTCAATCAGGGGCGAAACGGCAAGGGGGTCCAACGGACCCCCCCCCCCCCCTTATACGTTCGCGGCTGGAAAAACACCAATACGGGCGAGGGTCAAAATCAATTTTAATCACTCCTACGTCAGCAAATGTGAGCCACTCCGAGCAAAAATGAGCCACTCCGAGCCAAGAGGCACGCGTCTCCCGTGTCCGGTCATGTGTGCCGGAGCGGTGCATCGGTACTCACTGGAGAGCGGCTTGGCCAGCTCCTCGGCGTACTGGCTGAGGTCGATCGAGAGGCCGGCCAGTATGGAGGCCGTGTGACCGACGGCCAGCTCGGGACTGCGCAGCAGCGCGCGCCCCAGCGCCGGCAGTAGCTCGCCAGAGAACTCGGCGTGGCTGACGTGGCGCAGCGCGTGTCCGCAGTAGAGCAGGGCGGCCGGCGGCGCGCGGCTCTTGCCACCCACCACCAGACGCACCAGGCCGGCTAGCAGCGGCTTCTGCGGACGGAGGCCGCGCGGAATGCGTCAGACCACAGCGGCGCAAGGCACAACGAGCATCGGTTACCACAATTAAGATGATAGGCACATGTCGCCTTTAACACAAAAAAGATACGCTATACAATCAAGACCACACCTATTCCCGAGACATACATATCCCCATTCGGTGTCATTTAAGCCTCAGTCTCGCCATGCTGGACCTTGGTTGAAAACCAAGACCAGTCTATGGCTATGCTTGCTACTATTCGGCGCCCCTATCGACCAAAACAATCATGTGCCCGTCCCAAGCCACCCACTGTACCTTGACCTGGGCGATCTTCTCGGTTTGCTTCCTCTCGGTCAGGCAGCGGCTGAGATGGGCACCCAGCACCAGGTCGGGCAGCGACACATCCGAGCGTGACAGAAACTCCACGTAGCTCGCTATCTGGGCGTCCGATCGGAGTGCCTACGAAAACAGGTCAGTGTCAGTCGAGTGTCAGGGTCAATGTCCAGTCACTAGTCAGTGTCATAGAAGCCAGTGTCAGTCCGGTGGTAAGTGTCTGGTGTCAAAACAGCGGCCAGTGTCGGCCAGGCGATCAGTCTAATTCTAACAGTCAGCGACACCCCAGCAGTTGGCGTCGCGTGCCGTCACAGCTCCTCACCTGGCAAAACATGCGGTGGGCCCTGCTGACGAGAGCCGATTTCTCGGAGGCCACCACACTGGCCAGCAGACGAGCCTGGGCGCCGGCGAGCGCCGCGAACTCCTCCCGCTGTTCGGCCGTCGGCGCCGCGAAACTCAGCTCCAGAAGGGTGCAGCACCAAGAGAACGCCGCCAGATGGGTGCCCGCCAGCGTCTTACTGCGAAAAAAAAAAACACAGAAAAGGGCTACAACTGCGCACCAGGGGCCAGGGAACACCAAACAGCGATGAAGGCTTAGCGAAAAAAGCTGACTTTCTTTAGAGCCCTGTACAAAGAAAGCAAGAGCCTACTCTGTATACTGTATACGACTGGTATACGACTCGTACGTAACTGTATACGAATATGGTTGGGGATGGCTGAGCATGGGCTCGAATGCACCAATCCTAGCAGCATATCAAATATAATGCATAATTGCATATGTATGTGTATCTCAAAATCACAAATCTTGCCCTTACAATGGGTGGAGATGAATCGCATTTCCTTGGCGTTATATGTTTTACCCCAATATCTAATCAGTGAAGCTAAGAGCATTATTGACTAGGGCAATATATCAAACGAAGGATGATCGACACAACTAGGTATTTGCTGCGATGTCCGCTATGACAGGCGTACGTACGAGGCGTGTGCGACGCTGCAGGGCCGCGCCAGCTCGGCCAGCACCGGCGGCAGGTGTTTGCCGGCGGCGGCGCCGTGGGTGGTGGCCAGCTGGCGCACGGCGCCGGCCACCAGCGCGCGCGACTTGTGGTCGTGGTAGCGGTGCAGCGTGGAGCCCAGCAGCTTGCAGATACCACGCACTGCCGGCTCGGGCAGTTCTGCTGTAAATAATAAAAATACAAATTCAAAGTGTGAAAACCATAGGTATGTCAACATAGATAGGTATGGAAATTAAAAATAAATTGGAAAGTGGCTACATGCCACTAAAAAATAAGAGAAGTAGATTTCAAATCACATACCTGTCTTGATTGCCTTTTCCAATTGTTCAAACACATGCTTTCGCTCCTTTAAACTTGCAGACCCTATTCTTCCAGGGATTTCTTTCAGCAATGCTTTTATTTCCTCCATTTGTCTCCTGAAAAACAATAGTTCAGGTAAGCTTATCCCAGGGTGATTGTCATTTGGCAGAGGCAGCAGAAAATACTGAGATAACAAGGAAATAATTAATAATAAGAAAATAAATAATCAAAAATAAAACAAATGAAATAAGGATAGCATTCTAGTTCCTACCCATATTCATCTTTCAACAATGCATATTGCCAATTGAGCCATCACTTGATAAAAGCCTTATCATTTAACAGAAAACAAAACTACACAGAAACTTATAATCTAACATGCACAAAACAAAGGCAAATAGAGCATAAAACAAAAGGTTTTATGACCAACTCATTTAAAATGACTGAGACAGAAAAAGTAGCCTGTGCCCCACCAGGCTCCTCCAAGAGTGCAAAGTATGCAAGTACCTATGGCAGCAGATTTACCAAGCCAGACTAGCCAAGGTGCTAATTCACAGATTGACAGCCACAGGTCTGCATCAGCCCATACAAAACAGGCTGTAAATCAGTAAATCTGCACCTGCACAGCTGAACACAACCAATTAAATTCACAACTAAAATTGAGAAATCTTCATTCAGTTAGATAACAAAACTTCAAAACAATAGCATATAATATCTGTCTGGTTCATTGTGTCCCACATATATCACTGTTTGACAAAGTCATGCCAGCACAGCAGTTTAACACAGTGCTTAGTTAGGGCCCAAACTTTCCAAGGTAAATCTGGGTAAAACTTCAGTTTTTTACTAAATCTGCATTTTGCATCACACCATGTGCAGTCTAAGTGCCCAGTTACAGACAAGATTGTGTTGACATTGCCATCCAACCTGCATGGTGAGCAATGTGGATTTGAATTATAAAATTGTAGTAAAACTGTTAAACTTAAGATTGTTCCAGGATAGGTCATAATTCAAGCCTGGTGGGTGCAGGGAAAACAATAAACATAAGCTGGTGTACTTTTCCGGCCTGGCTAGTGCATCTTGTCAAACTTGCTGCCATGTTTTGGGATGACAGTGAAAACAGGGCACCTGAGGCGATTTGATCAAGGCTCTAGAAATTCACTCGCAAGTCGCAAAAACCATGTGACAATCGCTGTGTGGAAGCCGGAAGGCATTGAGAAGGGGGGAACTTCTCAATTGTCATGTGTCCAAATATGCCCTCCTGCACCCTGTTTTCACCAGTGTCCATGTTTTGCAGCCTGGATTGTCGTGTTTGGACTTTGGAGTCTAATGATCCAGACTTCCTGTGCTGGGGGCCGCGGGGGCAGGGCTTGACATCAACTATTAAAGTAATCCTGAATCATTTCCGAACTAAATTACTTCTACATTTAAAACATGGGCCAAATATCCTGAAAACTGACCATATAGTCATAAGATTTAGGAAAATTAAATCATTAAACATTAACACTGAACAGACATGCAGACGGGAACCCATAAACAAAAGTTCATAAAAGCAAGTTATTTCTATATCAATTCGCTCTTACCTCTTACCTCGTATTCTTACCTCGTTGGGTTCCATCATGTCTTGGGTTTCAGGATGGCAAGAAGGAAGGCAAATGAGGAATGAGAGAACCCCAAACACAAGAGACGCGCCAGTCCTACGTTACAAAGGCTTTCCTAATTCGTGCAGTTTAACATTGACTGGAATTGTGCGTCTCATCATAGTAAAGCCTGTTGCTTTTCCTATGTTCAGAAAAAACATACATACAATATGAGCACATTGTCGCAAGCATAATCACAATGTCGGGTACCTGTCAATCTAAATAGTTATAAAGGCTGTCTGTTATACATGTGTCAAGCAAGCGTTTGAAACTGGTAACATCTGGTGCGCACACAACATCATATGGCAACGAGTTCCAGAGTGAAATACATCGAATGGAGAAAAATCGTTTTCGCGTGTCGGTTGCTGTGACAGGGGGAAACACTTTGTGGCAATGGCCTCTAGTTCTAGCAAGGGATGGGCGTAGGAAAAGATCAGCGGGTGAGATACAAGAATAACCATTGAAAATTTTCCAATACTGGATCAAGTCTGCTCGTAACAGCCTGCCTTGTACCGAGTACAGTTTCAAACTTTTTAGTCGTTCGCCATACGTAAGGCCCTCCATACCGTCGATGTGCTTCGTCCACTGCCGTTGAATACGCTCTAGTGAACGAAGATCCATCGCGTATCCAGTGTTCCATACACATGAACAATATTCTAAAATTGGACGTATGTGTGTTGTGAACAGAAATATCATGAAATTTGGGGTGCGACACACTGTAGATTTCAGGAAACTCTGCGCCAGCCCTCCCGCTTTGTGGACGGTAGATTGTATGTGATCATGAAATCTCATGCTAGTGTCGATTATTACACCCAAGTCAGTGGCCCTGTTAACCACTGGGATCAGATTTCCATCCAAGTAGTAGGAGGGCTGGGTTAGGTTGGCACAGTGTCTTGAGAAACGGAGTACGGCACATTTTTTAACATTCATGTTGAGGCCCCACGACAACGCGGTAGCATGGAGAATATCTATGTCATTCTGCACGGCCGCGTCAGACAGAGGGTTTAAGACGGGCCTATTACTGTGTTTGACACAAGTATAAATCTTGAGATCGTCGGCAAATATCTTATAACTGCTTTTTAGTGAGGATGCAATAGTGTTAACATAAATCAGAAAAAGGAGAGGACCGAGTACCGATCCTTGCGGGACTCCGCTAAGTACCGCTTTAGGTTGACTTTTGTACCCTTTGACACACACTCTCATGGTTCTACCTGTCAGGAATGATCTGATCCACTTTAGGACATTTCCCTGAATTCCAATGCTTTGTAGTTTGTCAATCAACAGGTCGTGTACCACCACATCAAATGCCTTGCTGAAATCGAACAGTATGACATCACTGACAGCCCCGATATCAATCTGTTTAGATACTGTATCATACACTAGGAGCAGCTGGTCCATAGTAGTCCTACCTGCTCTGAAACCAAACTGGTGGGGATTCAGGAGTTGGTTGGATTCTAGGTAAGATGTAAGAGAATCACACAGCAAGCGTTCCATTCTCTTCGAAGAAACGGATGTTAGACTTATAGGTCGGTAGTTAAGTGCTTCATATCTTTGACCCTTCTTAAAGATGGGAACAACCAAGGATGTTTTCCAGTCAGAAGGTAAGGAACCCTCCTGGAGTGATCTGTTAAAAATAACTGCAAGGGGATAAGCTAAGTGAGTGGCACAGTTCTTAAGTAAGAGTGGGTGGATGTTATCAGGCCCCATGGCAGAGTTGCCATCTAGATCTAGAAGTACTTTGAGAACATCATTCTGGGTAATACTGATGTTATGAAGTTCCCCAAGGAATCGCTGGTGAGGAGCAGGGTTTCCTGGGATTGCTCTGGTGTAGACAGAGGAAAATGAGTCAGCAAATAGTTCAGACATACGACCGGGATCATCAGTAAGTTGTCCTGAAGGAAGTCTCAATGGACCCACTGAGGGGCGGCTCACCTTCTTCTTGCGGATGTATGAATGGAAAAGCTTGGGGTTTTCCTTAGACTTCGAGATTAGATCCTCTTCATACTTAGCTTGGGCCTGAACGGCAAACTTACGACACTGCTGATTTAGACTGGCAAAACTGGCATACATAGAACGAGCCTCACCAGAGTGACGACCAAGCTGATGCCTTACCGATTTATAACGGGACCATGCAGCATGCCTTCGTTTGATTAGGCTGGTGGGAGGATTGGTTGACCAGGGAGGCCTACCTTCACTAGGTGGCTTAAGTGGAATGCATTCTGTGCACACATCATTGAGTATCTCGGCGAATCGCTTAAAGGACTGATCCGAGTCTAGAAAAGCTAACTCTAGGTCCCAGTCAATGTTACTGAGCATACGATTTGCTGCTTGGTACTTACCCCTGTGCCAGGCTCTCTGAGGGATGATATGTCCAGGAACTGAGTTAAGTGATGGTGAAGCATCAAATATGTAATCAAATGAAATAGCACAGTGGTCACATCCAGGCAGTGGGGCCATGATATCGAGAGATCCTATTCGATCTGCCTCCGAGGTAAAGATCAAGTCAAGGATATTTCCAGATCTGGGATATGTTGGCTCAGAGATCCATTGATGGAGACCTAAGGATAGGAATGTGTCAAGGAACATCCTTTCTAGTGGGGGACAATGGGACACTTGGATTGGCCAATCAATACCAGGAAGGTTGAAGTCACCTAGGACAATCACTTCTTTTCCACAGCAAAAGTGAAGTATGAACTGGTTTAAACGGTCATTTGAATCTGGTGAGTTAGAAGGCGGTCTATACACAATAAGCACGAATGTATTGAGTGAACTCAGGCGAAAGGAAAGGAGGTTAGGTAAGGGTTGGATTATATGGTCGATACTCAATCTGTTTTGGATGTAGCAGCACACACCATGCTTTTGCACATGCCCACAAACATCATGACGTAAGAGAGTGTAGCCAGGTATATCAACAATAGAACTAGAAATACTGGGCAGTAGATGAGTCTCAGTAATACACATAATATCCCATTTGAGTTTGGCATGCAAATCTACGAGCATGTTAAATTTGGGTGCCAGACCATTGATGTTTGTGTGCATAATACTAAGAACATTGGTGGTGTCAGTGGCAGATTTAGCCTTACAGTCTTGGTTCCGTTTTAGTTTCCCTGGGAGGCAGGGGGTGGTGCACCCACAGAGGGGGCAGTCCGTGTGTCTTGTCCGGTGTTAGACTGGGCTGAGGGCAGTCCAAGAGCCTGCGCCTGTTCTTGTTGACGGGCCCTGCGACGGGCAAGCAGTTCTGATCTCTGTGCATAGGTCAAGTCTCTAGATATATAGACTGAGGAGTAGTCAGTGTTTCGCAAAGCTTTTGCCTTGTCTAACACAAGCTTTCGATTCTCACTATTCATGATCTTTGCACGATAGATATGTGGGTGGCCAGGGATGGATGAGATGTCAGTCAGCCCAACTTTCGTGCCCATAACCTGATCAGTCAACTGTTCGAACTTTGAGGCTAGATCAGCTGTGGAATCGGCATGGAGGCCCTTGATTATGACAGACTGTTTGCGCTTTTCACGCTCTCTCATCTCTTTCATTTCCTCATGAACAATGGACCTGTAGTCGGCAGCAGGCTGTTGCAGTCTTGGTGGTTCAGGATGAGGTCTGGTTGAGGGAGTGGAGGCTTGAGCCGACACTGATGCTGTCAGGGTCTTAACTTGGTCAACAAGGTCCTTTACTGTGCAGCAAATACCTTTGATCTGCTGGAACAGTTGGGCTATAACCTCATTTTTAACCTTCAAAAGTCGAGCTTGAAACTGCCAATAGATAAAATCCTAGCACCGGATGTGTCCAGCCGGCAAAATTCTAATGCAAAAGGAGGTACACAGAGGGTTAACCGGCTACGCATGTGTTAGAGCCTGGGCAGATTGTAGGCGTTATTCAGCGTCACGATTGTCGAGACATGCAGCAGGATAAAGTATTATTTTTACCATATTTCTTCTAAAGGGAAATTTTTTCCTAGCAAATCCCTTCTAGCAGTACTTCGAGTGTTTTTTCATAAAACTTATTGAGAAAAACGTACCTGAGTTCCTTTTTATGCATACATTTAAGCAAATAAACAATCATTTTATTCAAATGAGCTAGCCCGTTAATAGATAAAATTCTTTCATACTTTGAAAACTCTCTACAATGCTGCCATATTCTGCAGAAATGTAAACTGGCGCATGTAAGACGTGATCTAATTATTCTTTTTCACGTGTATTGCGAAAATTGTCAGCCAAGCGATTTTCCGTAGGTACCCACAGATCAAGATAAATTTTGCTGTGTTTGTTATTTATTAACGGTAGGTATTTGGGACAGCTTTGTTATGTCAGGAATGATTAAGCCACCTCACGCCAGATTGTTAGGTACTAAGGCATGACGTTGACGGGAGAGTTGAGCGTTTCAGTTTACTGTGAAAACGAAAAATCGGCATGCTGCGTAAAAATTCAAAGGTTAAAAACTGATGGAAAAGAAAAAGTGTTTCAATGCATTTGCTGGCTCCCCTCAAATACATATTACCCTTCGTCGTTAAACTTTGGCTCAGGTATTGATGCTGTAGTTCAGTGTGGGCCCTCGGCCGCTGTTTCATGGCACTGTGCCACAGCATGCTATGTGTCGCAGTATATTATGTTTCCATGGAAATATCAACAAACTGATGCTTGCAACACAGAAGCATCAAGGCGAGTTCGTATCAACCGCCGCACCAAGACTGTGGAGCAGAGTAGCGCACTGTAGTGGCATGCATTGAAACTGAACAGGGCCCAGGTTTCAAAGAATGGCAATATCAATGAAAACTCATCATTGTGGGGGTACTAAGAGTAAGCTGATGTTTGGTGGTGTGAGCCTGTAAATTTTCAGAGTGGTGTGCAGATATATGCTGTTTGCATTTAGTGGTCTGTACTCTGTGGTCCCCAGCATCAGCATGGTGCTTACCTACCTACTGTTAAGACTTAAGTGTGTAGAACTTCTCTACTGACTGCTGATGTGCTTTTTAAAAAGAAAAATGATGTATAGGAGACAATGGAGTGTACCAGGAAATAATTGACTTTTTTATCTTGCTACTAAACAGGTTAGATTTTCACTACCAAAATATGTTTGTGCCCATTTTTAGTAAGGGTTTGAACATCACTTTTCTTGGCTCTTTTTGTTGTTGCTTACCTAGATGCTCACAACCAAATCTCATGTTATCCACCATATCTATCCATTTTTTCTCTATCTATATTTATCCTATTTAAATTCTATAAGCAACGAGCCTTTTTATGCAATGAAAAGTTGTGCATTGAATGGTGTCTCCTCTCAGCAGGTCAGGATGCTGGCCCTGCTGAAGGGCGGACGGGCGGCGGCGACCGCCTCTGCGTCGCCGGTGGCGCGTGCCGCCGCCGGCCGGCTGCAGCCGCCGCTGAGTCAGACGGCCGCCGGCCGCAGCCAGCCGCTGGTCAGCAGCGCGGCGGCCGCCCAGCAGGTGCTGTCGCTGCACCGCCGGCTGCTGGCCATGCTGCGCCAGCAGTCGCGCGCCCTGCTGCGGCTCTCCGTCATCCAGTGCGAGTTCGTCATCATCTACAGAACTCGGCGTACCATGCAGGTCAGTTGCGGCGATCGAAACACGGTATCACCCTCGAGTAAATAGACAAGGAAAGAACTTGACTGGCTTCAACCTGTGCATAAAACGCTTCATATGTGCGTTAGTGCTATGTTCATATGTCGAGTTTGATTCTGTTCCGCTAACAGCTGTAGCGGGTGACGACGTGACGCTGCCGGTAGCTGTTCGAGCTCTACTCGGGTCTGTACAGCCGCGAGGCGCTGCGGGAGATGCTACGCGCGGTACGCCGGCTGCTGGCCGCTCAGGGCCGCCGGCTGCTGCTGAGCGCCGCGCTGGTGGTCGGGACTGAGGCCACGCCGTCCCCACCGCCGGCCGACGGGCAGAAGGCGGAGACGGAGAAGGAGGCGGAGCAGGAACAGGAGACGGGAGGAGCTGACGGTGATACCGAGGATGCGGATCAGCCGCCGCCTCCGGCACGGTGAGAAGGGAAGGGCGGTTGACCCAGTATTGCTCAGCGTTTGAATTGGCCATTTTAGCCTGGATATTTTTGTTATCAATACTAAGCGTTCATTCTGCCTGTCAATGAAAAATGGAAATCCACATGCTTCGTACTACTTTTTTGTGCTACTTAGTGGACATTCACCGTTTTCAGGCACGGTTACGAGGGCGAGTTCGAGCGTTTTGCAAAACTTTGCAAAGAAAGCATCATTTGCCCCGAGTGCGGAAAACGTCAGGTGCTTGACAGACAGGTGAGAACTTATGATCTCTCGGCTAAGGGGTATGTGCTTTTGCTATTTATGTAAAAATCCGTGATATTACTCCAAATGAAACTTATTTTCTGCGATCGTTCGTTGTCCATTTTGCGTTGAAAAGCGTCTTCCTTAATTTTTTTTTTTTGGGGGGGGGGCACTGCATTACTTAAGCATAACATTCTATTCGGGGAGAAGTGTAGTTTGGAAACAGACACAAAAATCACCCCAATTACTTTAAAGCACACAATCGCTATGAGCTCTGACCATTGACCTCTGTAAGTACAATACCTACCTAGTAGGTATTATAGAGGTTAATGGCTCTGACCCGTGCCTAACCGCCGCTCGTCCCGCGGAGACAGGTGGAGAAGATCGCCTACTGCGCCTGCGCCAACGGCGGACCGACGGCGGCGGTGAACCGGGGTCCGGACGCCACCTGGGAGCCGTTCATTGAGCGTAATCACGTGGTGGTGTGGCGTCAGCGTCACGGTCAACAAGACCACCTCTACTCGTACAAAGGTGCGGGGAGCGGCCGATGGGTGGTAGGCCGGGCGGATTGGGCAGTGCTGCTACTTGTGGGTGGACATACCCGCCCGGCCTAGAGTGCTTGTTACGGCTGCGTAGTTTTTCACCACAGCCCCATTTTTATTGTTACCGATGCATAACCCCGAACCCGGACTCCGAGCAGAACTCGTTACGTCATGTGTGCATTACTTATATAATATGATGGCGATGGCCTGGTGCGCACATCCCTCGCCGATTTGACACGGCAGTGTGATTGACCGGGTGTGCCTCCCGCTCCGGCAGTGTACGGTACCTATGACGATGTGACGGCCGAGTCGTTCTTCGAGGTGCAGCTGAACACAGAGTACCGCACCCAGTGGGACCCGAGCGTGATGGAGCTGCGCGTGGTCGACCCGAAACCGGGCGACGACGGCGACGTCATCTACTGGCAGGTCAAGTTTCCGGTGAGTGGCAGCCATTGGAACCGGTGGACGGAACCGAGAAGATGCCGTACTCGTCTAGACACGCTTGCTTGACGAATAATATTTCGGACACAAGGAATTATGACGCGAATTTGGTTTGCACGCTTTGCTGTTGTGAGCTCGTCACTGTGCTCGTTCATGTAGGTACTCTGTCGCCCCGTGACCACCAGTCTCCTGCCGTCCTCAGACCATGTTCCAGAACCGGGACTACGTGTTCGACCGCTCGTACCACGTGGACCGTCGAGCGCGCCAGATGACCATCGTATCGCGCTGCGCCGCCCGTGACGACTGTCCCGAGCGTCCCGGCGTGGTGCGCGTCAACAACTACTGGTCGGTCATGGTCATACGACCGCACACCAACTTCGATCAGGTCAGTCCGCGAACCAGGCCTGGGCTTCCGTGGATGAGGGGTCGTTGACGGTCTTTGTGGGATATCAAATGGTGTTGACGTGCGGTGCCGGTGTATCATATGCTTATTAGTTTGTTGTTCAGTCGTCTTTTTGCTCAGCTTAGCGACATTGTCTGTTTCAGCCTGGAATGGACTTTGGTCTGACGTACTTTGACGATCCGGGCACGTACCTACCGCCGGTCATTACCAACTACGTGGCCGCCACGGGTAAGTTCAATTAAACCTATAGTTAAATACCCCCCGCACTACTCTCTTACAACGCACGACCTGCCTACGTACTACGACGGTTCATACGGTCGACTCCCACTGCACACCCCAACTCCGCCACCATCAGTTACCACACTACCCGCTTACCCCGAAGTCCGAACCAATGTTGAGTTGTCCCAACTTCCTAGACCACTGATAATCCGCTTCCGGTTTGCGGTGCCCCTTCCTTTGGCTGGACTGTCCATCCATTATTGGTGAACTACCACAGACCATTTTCCTGCAGCGGCAGGAGACTGCCTCCGCGGCACGTGTTATTGTGAGGCTGCCCATCAGATCGATCCTGTCACTCTGTTGACGACAGCCGCTCGGATCGGGGCCAGCCGGTGCGACATTTATGGCTGTTTGCCAGTTTTTTACCCATCGTGCGTCATAACCTCCCTGATAGCGGTCTAAGGGAACGTTTATAGTTGACAAGATTTAATGCGAGATTCAATGATCTACTTTGAAGTGATGAGATGTTTGCATTATGTGTGTTGCAGCTCGACTACTGTTTTCAATTCAAGGATGTGGTGCTACTGAGAATGCGTCACGAGCGTCAAATTCATTTTTTTAATAGGTCATGACAACAAATTTTAAATTGTTTCTGTTTTGGTTTTATTGGAAAGTATATTTGAATCATTTGTTTGATGATTGATTTGGTTATTCAAGAGAATTTGACAATATTTGTTGCTTGAGTTTTGATCTTTCGATTTTGTTACAATCACATGTCGCTTTCCTCTTGCCGGCTGCGTCTGTTACTGTTAAAACCAGTAAATTACCATTAATATATTACGTTTTATCGTACAGTTGTTCTCTTATCCCGGCGGCGGAAACAACGTGTTTGGTTACCTGTGACCTTTAGTTGCTGTTTTATCTGGTTGAGTGATGTCGGCTTTCCGCTCGCCAGGTCTGCCGAATTTCCTGGAGCGTGTGGCGGACGCCGCGCGGACGGTACACCGTCAGATGGTCTCGGGTCAGGTGACGGTACCCCTGCAGTTCCTGGAGAGACCGCCCTCCGAGGGCCCGGCCGCCAGCGCCGCCGCCCCGCCTCCACAGCAGCAGCGGGCGGCCACCGGCCGGGCCGAGTTCACCTCCTACAGCGCCCGAGCCGACTTTGTGCCGGTGGGGGCCGCCTGACAGCGACCGGAACGGGAACAGACTGAGGGGGCGGGCCGGACCGAGTCGTGAGACAGCGAGAGCCGAGTCTAGCCGGGCCCTGAGAGAGCTGAAACTGAGCCGGGTTGTATCCTGAGGCAGCCTGAGCAGCACGTCGGCCCCTCGTGGCCGTGGTGAACCCGCAGGACCCGTGGGTGCGGTGTGACCCGGCGTCTGAGCAACCGACAAGATCTGACTTGTTACCCACACAATACGGATCGATCAGAAAACGAGACCCATTGTACCGTATTAGCATATACCAATGTTATCGAACTCACTATGTGAGAACTGACCATTATCATCGCAGCTCTGAGCTTGGCTTGGATGGTTATCCGTGAGATGTAATTAGAAGGTGTATGACCAACGTCTGTTTGTTATGGGGCGATGCATCTGAAGTATGTATCTGCAATCGTAAGCATGTGAAGTATGAATGGATTTCGATCTTTTCCAGCTGTGACTGGTGATTCTGAGTAGCTGCGATTGCGTACTAACTCCTGACAGTGTGCGTGAGCGTTTTGTAATCAGTTTAGGAGTTCTCGCTTGGCTTTAGTCAGTCGTGTGATATGGTTTGTCGTGTACGCGTATCAGGAGTTTTCGAATGTGTCTCCAGTCAGCCTACATATTCGCATTGTTGCGCAGTCAAGTCAGTGAGTCAAGAGAAGTAAACTGTGAACGCCCGGGCCGTCGGCAGTTCCTGCATTAGATAACGAAGCGCTCCTAGCCTGGGAGTGTTTGGACCTCAGACGCAAGTCAATGCCACTGTATGGCTAATACCTCCGCGGCTCTCGGCCCGTGGCCTGCCCACATTGTGATACCATTTAGCCAGTCTCCGTTAGCCGCCCCCTACTGACAAATTTGTTGCTCAGCGGCGGTAGCGCCGTGAAGACTTCATTCGGAAGAGCCGAGTCAGTGCGGTCAGAAAGAGTGGGTGGATCAGTCATCCATGTTACTGGCGTCTAACGTTTGTAGCAGACAGAATGCAATGACCGAGCGAGGTCGCGAACTGTGCGGCAGCGATGACTGGTCCATTGGCCATCGCGCCGCCGTTCACGGCCGAGTGTAGGGACTATAGTGTGTGTGCGTCCGTATCTGCAGCTGTGGAATGGCCCGGTCGGTGCCCTCATGCGTGTGCTACAGACTCACATTACGGCGTAGCGATATGAATGGCAGTCACCAGGAGTGTTCATTTTAAATGTCATCCGGGCCACAGTGTAACTTCTTGCCAGTTATTAGAACGTGGCACGTTTTGGAATATATATTTGAAACGCCAACTTGTTTATAAAAATCGTCCATTTAGGTGTCGGTGGAGCGTAACACGAGCCCCGAGACTCCAGCGATGCTGCAAGGATGTCGAGCAAGCTTAGACTGCCAAATTGGTTGATCAGCTCACAAAACGTAACTGCTTAGACCCAGTCTCATGTATCCGCATGCGATAAGCTCCGAACTACTGAGGTGAATCGTAGCAATCCACATTATTTCGACTAGTGCGCCCGTAGTCGGCGGGTTACGGTGATATCAATCTATACAATGATCGATCCGGGACAGTGTCAGGCATCAACTACGCAACGGCGTGGTAGCCAAAGCTGTAGAATGCCATCCTTCGATACACTACAGGCCAATATCATGCCATTATCATGTTTTCCAAGACGGCGAATAAGCTCGCACGTATTGCTGACTTGCTCTGTCCTTTATTGACACATAAATACAGCAGATCCGGTCGCCAGTCAAGCCCGACAGATACGTGCTACAGCAGTCGACAGACCTCTACTTCTGAACGAAATCGTCCCTCGACTACCAATCGCATCACTGATGCAGACAATTCCGCTGGATGCGTTACTGGAAGATAGCTATTGTAATAGACAGAATCATGTAAACTGACCGGGTTCGACATGCCAGCCGCCGGAATGGCGCAGAAGGCATCAGGAGCTAGAACGGCGTGCAAATATGCTCGTAAAGCCTGCTTATAAAACAAGCAGGGTCCGTGTCCACAGTTCACTCGCATTCAGACTCAAATACCTACAATGCATCACAGTTGTAACTGAACTGTCCTGAAGTATTATGCACGGGAATCAGCCGCGAAACTCATGGTTACGTTATTTGCAGAAGTGTGATTGTGAAATATTCAAACGTCCAGTAACCTACAAGGGTGTCAGAAGAGACATCAAAATCAATCCTTAGAACAAACACAACAATGGTCAGAATCTCGCAATTCTGGTGCCACAGCCATCATCAGATTTAAATACATTAGGGTAAGTACCTACGGACTTCGTGAAAACTTACCAAAGCATTTCCGCTTGGGAACGACGAAGCAATTACGAGCTTTTCACTATTCATAAGTTAAGCACACTAAAGAAAACACCACAATCCACACCGGCAGTTTCAAGCAAAGCAGAATAGTACGAGGGGTCAGTCAGGCGGCGATCTCGGACCAACTGACCGACCGAGCACCGCGTCCCATAAATAGTTACCCACCGCGCCGGCGCTGAGATTAATTGACTAGTCGCCGGGCGATCTCCTTCTGGAATTGGGCGCCGTCGTTCAGCGTCGCCTGCTTGTTGATCTGCTGGTGGCGCCGCTGGCTGACGACTTCCTCTACGATCTCTCCCCGTCCGCGGATCAGCCTGCCAAAATGTATCGGAGCGTGATTGGTAACCGATCAGAGACAGCCCGCACATTGGCTTACTGTATAATACACACACACCACGGCTGGAAGAATAATAAAACGTATGAAATCCTAAACAAGGTCGTTCAGAAAGCTGGTGCTAGGTAATCTTTAGTATCCCACGCGACACGCGTGATTAAAGTAATAGATCCGAATTAAAATTTAAATAACGTAATGGTTTAGCATTAAATGACAATTAGCAATCGACTAAGTCAATTGAAACAGTAAAATTTCACAGAGGACAGAGTAAAGTGTCATCCCAAGGCGGGCGTTACTCATTGGCCTGCGGCGGCGTGAGCGGCCGGCCGGCCGAGCGGCGAGCACCCACCGGCTGCGGCCCGTCTCCGGGTCGACGACGCGGCGCAGCTCGTTCCGCTGCTTGTCCCACTCCTCCTTGGTCATGGGCTTCATGGCCTGGCCGACGCCGGCGTCCGGCAGCGGCGGCCCGATCTCGACCTCCCCGTCGGACCGGGCGCCCGCCGCGGCCGACTGGGCCGCCCGAGCCTCCCGCTTCAGCTGCTTCTTCAGCTTCTTCTTCGCCTTCTTCCGACGCTTCTTCTCCTTCTTTGCACGCTTCTTTTCCGCCTTCCGTCTCCGCTCTTCCTCGCTAGTACTGCTGCTGCTACTGCTGCTGCTACTGCTACTTCTGCTACTGCTGCTACTGCTGCTGCGCTCCCGCCGTTTCCGTTTGGTCGGCGGCAGGGATAACTTTTTGATGGCGGGGCGGCGCTCCGACGAGCTGCTACTGCTGCTGCTGCTGCGGCCGCTCTTCCGCCGTTTGCATTTGGTCTTATGCGGTGGCCTACCCTGGGAGCGGCTACTGCTGCCCGACCGAGCCCGCCCGCGGCGATCGTCAGAGTCCGACTCCGAGCATGCCTTGGAGGCCTTCTTTTTCACTGAGCCCATGGTTTACTGCTGAAAACAGAAACATTGAGAAAGAAAGGTGAGATAATGTTATCAACAAATGTAAGCTCTAATTGTAAGTTGGCTTAGTTAGTGTGTCAGTCATCATGTCAAATCCTATTTAGCATCCATGTTTACCAATCTAAGTGATAGATGACAAAATGAGCAAGTCATGTCACCTACGCTTACCTTTCACATCTTGTCTACCTTATTGCTCAATTTTAATAGGTACCTATTATGAGATTGTGTTAGATTTACTCACAGTTACCTACATCTAATCTAATTCTCAGGTCTCTACAGATCATCATGGTGTTCTGTTCACTGTTCATGTTATTGGAAGAAGTGATCCACTGGGGGACCTTCAGGACAATTTGGTGATATACCTATCTATTAATAACAAATATTTATAAAAAAGAGAGCTCTGCTAAATAAACATGTGTTTGCAAAGGCATTGTTACATGTTGGCAAGTATCCTATCATATGCTCCTCCTGTAGCTAAGTGGTGAAACATGAAGGACTTTCTGTAGTTGATGGAGCTAGAAACAAACAAAGCCACTTCAGGTTGGAGCTTAAAGTGAGTGAGGGTGTTTTGAACAGTGTTATCCACTGATAAGCACCTTTTACTGCAGGTTTACAATCTCCCCAGCCACCAGTCACAAAAAAAGAGTGGACATTAATTGTTCTTGTGAAATGTGAAGTGAATCTAAGAAAAAAAAATATCACCAATATCACAAAGAACTCTGAACTCTGAGCTCATCAACATTCATTTAAAGTATGTGGTAAACATCAAATTATGTTTCTTTTATTACAAAATAAATAGGGCTCACGCCTGATAAATGAAGTGCGCTGGCCGCTGGGTAGTTTCAGTTTAATAGAAGCCATATGTTCACATTCACACCCATATTGTAAATGCATGTCTATTCAGTGTTTCACAAGCCTTCAGAGCAGAAAATTTACTAGAGCAATTAGGGTTCGATCATACCTGCTTCACTTAATCACTTAATTTGTGACAAATGAAAAACAGGATCCCCAACTGAAATGGAAAGGTTGGCAAATGATCACCAAACAAAAATATCAACGATACACTGTTGTCTGAACTAGTGTTTGCCATATTAACCCGCGCCCTGCTGGGGGTCCTGGATTTCCACGCCCTGCTGGGGGGCCCCCCCTTGTAACTCGGCTCCTGGGCCACGTAGCGATACGCGGAAGGCGGCGTTCGAAAGAGCGTAAAAAATAATGACGAAATCACTTCGGTCAATTTTTTGGTCAGGCCAAAGGTCAGGTCACCAGAGGTCATTGAAGGCAAAATTTCGCCGATTTCCAGGTCAAATGTCGAAAATTTCCAAGAAGCCAACGCATAACTCGGGAACCAATAGAGCTACAGCGCCGCGGAAAAGCGCATTCGATAGCCCTATTAACGCCCTTTCTGAGTAATTCTCTCAGATTTGACCTAACGTCAACGGTTTTGCCTGCAGGGGGCAAAAACTGCAAAAATAGCCGATTTTTTCGAAAACAGTTTTTCTGCAATAACTTTTGACCCAAGCATTTTACGAGCTTACTTTTACCGGCATCGTGTTCCTCTCGTCAAGACGCATCGAATGAACTATAACTTGACCTTGAAAGGTCAACTTGAAAATTTGACCTCAGGTCAAGGTCATGACCTGACCGGAAAGGGTCATGTTGCATATCAGTCGATCCGTATCGTCGAGCTGAACACATCTAAGGCGTTTTCATCGCTCTAGCATGCCTCTATCAAAAGTTATTTGCGAAAAACTGTTAGATACCATTCGTGACCTAAGATGACCTCAGGGCATAAACAAGGGTCACGGACACCATTTTCAAGTTCAGTGTGTCTAAAACACTTGTAATTCGGTGTTTGGGAGTGTTTATAACGTCTTTCATCCAAAAGAGGCGCATTTCAATTTTCTCCCATTGACTTATAATGGGGAGGTCGCAAAATTGACCTGACCTTAGGTCATCGATATCAAAATTCTGAGATATACATTTTGTACATGCTATTGCTCTTAGCAATCGCTGAAAGTTTCAAAGCGATCGGTCACTCGGTGTAGCTATGACAGACATTGAAAGTTTTTATGAGGTGAGGTCACTTCAAGTGACCTGGTGACCTGACCTTGAATGACCTTGGTCTGAAATTTTCACAACATGTGTAGAATTGATGTATGATAAGGTGTACCAAAAACGGCGGCGCTCCGCGCCGCCGTTTTTGAGATATTCGCGAAAAACCACAGGGGGGGGTGTTCAAACACCCCCCCCAGCAGGGCGCGGGTTAATGTCAGCAAATCATGAAACATACTATCTTATTTACTTTTTACTTTTTACACTTCAAAGGCATTCAGTAAATTGTAAATGTGATTATTCTGCATGAATTTAGTAAGCCGAGTCATGAAAAGACACACAAATCACAATTAATGCTGGTACAATTAAGCCTCAGAACTGATATCGAAGGCACATAACTTTTCGAATATAATCACTTGCATTCAAAAATATCAAAAAATTTAGGCTGATTGCCGAGAAAAATTCAAAACACGCATAAAATAACTTTTCACCCTGCCTTGACCCTGCCCACTCAATTTACCGCGCCGCTGGAAATCAAGCGCCACGAAAGCAGCGCGAAGCTGAAGCTTCCATATGTAAACAAGGCACCATATGAAGGGAAAATAAAGGATTTCGGGTCCGTAGTAAAGGAATCTTGTCGGGTCCTTCGTTTGCGGTCATAGCAATAATGCAATGTGCGCAATGACTCCCTGTCCCTAGTCTTGTCGATTCCGGCTAAACAGGGATAAATAATACCGAGACTTTTATAATCCAACCAAAACCCGTCAATTCATTACAGAGGAGAGGAGACGATGGAGCCCATTTATTTATTAATCAATCCTCAACCATAGGTATTCACTCGACGCTTGACATCACCGTCATCAGCTCGCCACGCTGGGACGAGGCTAAACACGGCGCCCAACACTTCCGAATGGAGAGCAATATAACGCTACTACGAGCCGCGAGAGTTTCTCTGGGAAAGTCATCGCTAGTACCTAAGGAGATGACGATGCATAAATAACGTCAGATAGCCGGTGAATCCGGTCACGGGTTATGGGACAGCTGGATGGTAGTGAATTGTCGCAAGATGCGAGATATTACTCAACGAATAAAAAAAAACATACTTGTTCCAGCTTAGCTGAACGGACACGAGAAATGAGCAGGCATCTAGCCGATTCCCACTCAGCATTTACTGAATATACTGCATTGAAACAAATGCACACTGCCGTGCAAAGGCAAAAACCATTATGTCGGGTCAGAGGCCATTACCTCAGATCAGAGGTCACCCGAACATAATGGGTTTTGCATTTATACGGCAGCACAGTAGACCTCAGTTTACCACCAATCAGTGTTCACTTCAAAATGCGTGGCGGCCGGTTAATTACAAGGTCCATGCCGGCATGTCCTGACCTCCAGTTGAAATACGACTGAGACTGCCGACCAGGCTGTACACACGAGTGAAGGAAACGCGAAAAATGAGTTCCTTATCCGGTACACCGTCCGCACGGCTCCACTCGCAGAGCTCTGCACCATGGAAGTGCCCAAAGTGGACCGGATCAGCTAGTCAGGTCAACTCAGTCACCGACTGCGGGACCTAGTCCGAGCCGCCGTCGTGGCATGGGCTATCTCCAGCTGTCTATTTGTACGGGTGCGTCTGTATGTTGGCCTTGATGTTAGTTTTGATGGAGCTCGGAGCTTTGTTCACTTGCGGCACTGAAACGCAACGGACACTCGTCAGTGATTCGATACATTATCACGTAGAGATGCTGAGCAGTCAGCGACTCGCACGTTCTGATTTGTTGATCTTCGACGGTTTAAGCCTAAGGTGTATATACCATTGATCGATAAGCACTCTTCAGCCAAGTACCCATTGCAAAGCTTGCGGCGATATGAGCCGATGTACAGATACGCATGGGCAAGAATTGCGCTAACTCTTCACTGTAAGAAAACAACAATAGACGATACATAAAACACACGACACACAGACGGCAGCAGAAGAACGCCAAAAGCATGACCACCTAAACTGCCGATCCCGCACGCAACAAAGTACTACGTAGCTACGTAATACGTTTGTCATTTGGGGAGGGGTCTTGCCAAGGGTCTGGCAACCACTTACTCTGAACAGGAGCTGGCGCGGGCATAGGGGCAGGGGCCTGCCGGGCGGACGGGCCGCTCTTCAGACCCTTTCCTGTCAGCAGAGTAGAAACCACGCGGTTATAGCTTACATGCCAGTGATGCCGGGCAACGGCGCGGAAATTAGCATTAGCAGTGTCCTGGACGTCAATTGATTTGAATACCTCAAACTAGCCACTGAACACTGGACAGCATGATGGTTTAGGTCGGTGAATGAAGCAGCTTTAAGGGGAAAAAACGATAAGAGGCGTCAGAGTGCAGCAACAACATTCGGAGACCAAACGACGGGACGGTCAGGGTCGGTTGACAGAGGACACCAGGTCCAGTGGCTGTTAACGGTCCCTGTCAGAGGGCAGAGGGCAGCACGGGGTGCCGCGAGCCCTTCATTTGCGGGCAGTCAGCATCTGGTAGTATGACGGCACCATACCGGAGCTCTGTTCGCACCCCGTTTATTTACCAGCAGGCTGCGAGCATGCTGCTACTTCTTGGCTCCTCATTGGTCGAATTCAAGTGATCTATTCGTTAGACCAATGAGAGGCCAAGAAGCGCCAGCAATAACTTCCTTATATGGGGAAAACCGACAGCACGCTGATATAAAAACAGCGACCGAACAGGGCCCCGGAGCGAGCCCGCCCACTGACCAGTGCCGATGGCGGCGATCAACAGCTGCGTGTCTGCCACCGAGGAGGTCTGGCTCAGCTGCGCGCGTGCCGACTCGCTCTCCCAGTCCTCGCGAGACTGCTGGATCGTGTCCAACAGGTTGTTCACCACCTTGTTCATCGCCGTCACTTGTTTCTGCCGAGCGCCGGAAAGAAGGCTTGTCACTGCCTGGCCACATTTTTTGCCGTGTGCATCTTACGACACCTGGACACATCGTCAGCATTTCGAGAAACAGCTGCTATTTCACAAAGAGCTGCTATTTCACGACGCAGTATTAACCACGACTCTATTTCACACTATTCCCGACGCTGACACCTCTCCCCCTTCACTCCCCTCCCCATCCCAGACAAACAACATAACACTGGCATTACTCCGGCACTCCGGCAGAAAGACCGATCACAGACTGAGACAGGGTGCCGGAAGCCTAAGGTGAACGAACTCGGAACTGGCGAGCTCACCTGGGCGGCGTCGGCGCTGATCGAGGCGGCCTTGCTCTCGACCATCTGGAGCCGCTCCTCGACCATGGGGTCATGCTTGGTGCGCAGGTAGTGCGGCACCAGGTCGTGCGCGAACGCCGGCACGCGGCCCTCGGTGAGTCGCACCAACTGCTCGTCGCGCTCGGGCGACAGCAGCAGCGGCAGCGTCACGCGGTTCCGCAGCAGCGGCGTCTTCTCGTTCTTCAGCACGCGCAGCAGGTTGTTCAGCTGGTGATGAGTGGTGATGAGTGAGGGTTGTGAGTTGAGTGTGTAGTTGTTAGATAGTCACTAAATGAAGAAAACCAAATGTACTCATCTATTCTGGTATAGGAGCTCTTCATGCTAATAATCATCCATACTTAGGAGCATTCTAGTCAGACACTTGCTTTTGGCATGAGCATTGAAGAATAAAACAAATACCCCATATACTGATCCTTTGACTGACAAATTACATAATACATTTGTTTTGGAATGTCATGCAATTCAGTTGTTTTCCATCAAGGTGCAAACACATTGGCTCAGCACATTTACTTCTCTATACATTGCCAATGACACATGTTACCTTGCACAAGTCATCAGTTGGTTAGAGCCAGCTACATAGCCTGCAAGCCTACATGTTGACTAGTGATGATTGCTCACCTGACCAGAAAGTAGCGCAAAGCTGTCCAGCAGAGATGGCCAGCTCATGTGCTCATGACCTGCCTCCAGCTTCTGCAGTGTTTGCCCAATGGACTGCTTCAGATCGTTGAGCCGCTGTGAGAAGGCATCCAGAGCGGCATCCAGTGCCTTCTCTTCTCTCTGTCCACCACAATCAGTATCATAATCACATAATCACAAGACATGAGCTTCTGGACACAAAGATTCATTTGCATATGCATCTGCATTGTGAGTAGTGTGAATGTGGTTAGAAAAACACCTTTAGAAACTACTGGAACATATATATTTGGTGCATAAAGAGATAGAGCTGTTAAAAAGTAATTTGAAAAACTGGTGGTCCAGTAAAAAGAAACATCTCAAAATAGAACATCAAAGAGAAAGCATCTCTGAATATTTTTATATATTGTGATATTGCAATGTAGTGTTATCACAAAAAAAATTCAGAATTCTGAACTTTTTTAGATAATCTGATAATGCGTAAGCGATATTACATGACATTCAATAATGTGATTTACGCAATGTGGCTCAACGCATGTTTGCACTAGACAAACATTCTTTGTTCTTTAGCATCGCCAACAGCATTACATTCTCGCGCTATCTTAAAATCACACAGAAAATCGTGTGGTGGAGCCTGGGTATAATGGGTCAAATGAAGTCATCTTATCTATTTTTATCTATCAAATTCATCCCACTTAATTACATATTTGCAAATAAGGCACCTTTTTACTTTCAAGTAAACTTCTGTTGAAATTATATAAAGAAGATATCAGTATCCTCATACCAGAGCTGGGCATTGCGCAACTTAAGTCCGCAACTCCGCAACTCCGCAACTTGCGGACTATCCTCTTGGTAGCGGAGTTACGGATCGGCTACCAAGCACAAAAAAGTTGCGGAGTTGCGAGTTGCGGAAGCGAAAAATTCTAAAGCGCAACCGATACCGGGGCCGCCACCGCTGACGGGGGCGAGAGAGAGAGAGAGAGAGAGAGAGAGAGAGAGAGAGAGAGAGAGAGAGAGAGAGAGAGAGAGAGAGAGAGAGAGAGAAATTCGCCACTTCAAAAGGTACTACCTATCAGACATAACACTGTACTTCAGGACTAACCCTCGTACGGCGTTTGCCAGCGTCTAACGTGTAGGGGGGGGGGTCGGTTAGACCCCGCCCCCTGCCGTTCGGCCCCTGATCGAGCTAGAGCTTCGTGGAAAAAAACGAGCGTGTTGCCCGTTACAAGAGGAAGCCGATGATACCCAATTTTAAGGTCCTAGTTCATTGGTTGGCCTTCCAGGTCAGGTCAATGACCCATAAGTCGGGAAATTGGGACCTGCTAGAACTTCGAAGAAGTGAAGCTGTTATGGTTTTTTTCGGGGTACTGATCATGTATTTCATGTTAGTTTTGATCACGGATGATGTCTTCATGCATTTAGGCCGTCAGGTCAGGTCAGGTCAGGTCAACCAGTAGGCGTCCTGCCGGCTATCTATAGTAGGTGTCAACTACGACTGACGGCGCCGTAACATGTAAAGAACTAGAAAGCACTAAAACTACTTTGATAATGTTCAAATGGATGCGAAACTCGAAATCAGCCTAAAAAACTACCCTAGAAACATGCAAAACTCGAAAAAGTGAACCAAGGTCAATGGTCATCAAAGTCAATGACCTTGACCTGACCTTCACGTGACAATGACACCCACCATAATGCATGGGACGAACATCATTTCACATGTTTCGACGTTTACAATCACAATAGACTGTAAACGCGCGGTTCTGAAAGTTTCGTCGCGATCGTCCGCTTTTTGCGCGAGTTATTCGCGAAAAACCGAGGGGTGTCCATCCAACCCCCACAGCCTACACATGCGAGGACTAAAACTGATAAAACATTGTACCTAATAGAGGTGGGTAGCGGAATTGCGGAGTTGCGGAGTTGCGAGTTGCGGTTTTACGATCTGCAAAATAGTTTCGGAGTTGCGATTGCGCTTTGGGTACCTCAGGTTGCGGAAGGTAGCGGTAGCGGTTTTCAAATTTCGGTAGCGATGCCCACCTCTGCCTCATACTAATGCAACCATTTGTTTAAAACCCACCTGCATACTCATTTTCTTGAACTTGGATTGGTTTATTAACAGCTGCCAATGCTCCTATTTGCTTGGAAAATAACAGAAATTAACATATAACTCCAACGCAGCCGTCATATATCTACCAACCAACCAAGCCACCAACTACAACAAACAAATTTCACTATGAGCCTTTCCCTTCAATTTTAAGACCTAGCCCAGGCTAGCTGCTTGTCTTTATCTTACACAAGAATTTCATTGGCTGTTTGTAGTCGTTGCTATGACAACACATAAGTTAGCAGTAGCAGCATAATACATCGAACAGTGAGCTCTTTCATCGTTTGTGAAACTCTTGCGCATTTTATGTCTACGTCTAATCAAAGTGCTGCTAGTAATTTAAAATTTGCCTGTTTATTGTCCTAATGAAAAATATATATTCTTTTGGAAGGTAGCTTGGAGTGTGAAACGCACTGTTACAAACGAAAATCATGGTAATATAACTTCATAGAACGAACTAAATAGAGCAAAATCTGCTCACGCCAGCCAATCAAGAATTCGAAAACCAGCTTGAACTGCTTACATCTGAGCTGCGGCACAGTATAATATCAGGCGTACTCAACTAATGCCATCTATGAACAAGAATACAATTTTTGGTGCTCGCGCTTCGGTAGTCGGCGACTCGGCCTGGGTTCTTGTCACAGACGGGTTACAGTTGATGCAACTTCAAGCGATGCAACAATGCACGTAGTGGTAAGAAGGACGTCGACTCGACACAGTCGAGTGGTTTGACCTCTTCTGAACCTACGGCCATTGTGGAGGGACCGGGGATATGATGCCGAGGCGAGCCAGTTTCGGCCAATGACAGATATTCCCGTTTATAGCTGAATGGGTACCTACATGGACATAAGAAAAGAATAAACAAAATTGACAAACATTAAAGATGAACAGCACCTATTATTTATTACGCTCGCCAATGCTTGAACGTTTAATCATAGTCATAGTTCGATGGGCATTTGACTGGCAACGGCTTATCGATATCGGATCGGGTAACCGGCATAGGACCGGCACTTGCCCACCATGAGGACTGACGTTCCGGCTCGGGGCCTCATCGGAGCAATTTCAAGCCGAAACTTTTGGCACGTCAACGAATGTTACCTCTGCGTGTGCCTGCGGAGTCTGAATTGTTCTACCTGTTATTGACGTCAGAGGCGGATCCAGCTCAGAGTTTTGGGGGGGCAAACCATAAAAATTTATCGATTCTTTCCATGCATCGTCCATAGGCGTAATGTTAAACTCATGCCGTTTGGGGGGGGCAAATGCCTATTTTACCCCCCCCCCTGGATTCGCCACTGATTGACGTGAAGACGTTGCATCGACTGTCGCGGATTTGCAGAATTCTGCTGATTCTGCGGATCAGCAGCGGATTTTGCGTTGCGTTGCAGCGGATTCTGCGGATTTGCGTTGCAGAATCGAATGTGGGGTTTCCGTATTTCTTAAACGTAGCTTCAAATACCTAGTGGATAGTCAACGAAGGGTGAATACCTATTATTTAAGCCCCGACAGTAATCGATTTTTCCACATAGGTATCGATTATAAATAAACTGCTTCCCGAATAAAGCCATAATAAGCTGCAACATGCAGCTGCAACCGTAATCGTACGCGTCAGCAGTAGCCAGTAACTAGATAAGGGACGGAGCTCTTGTATTGTTCCATAACGTAAACATGCACCATCAATTATGGAGCGCGTGAACTACACTTAACAGTATCACCGAATAAAGTCATCTCTACCCATTGTACAGGTCACACAAAAGTATCTATAAAAATCACACCAAGACATGGACATTGGCGAAACAACTCACAGGAACACTGAGTCTGAATCATGGATAATTATCCCTGAGGCGAAACGCAACAAACGCCGCGTTAGCAGACACTACAACAGTGCAAACACAAAGTCGTGACTCCTCTGTCGTGGAATGTAAGTTCCAAATCACTATCTGGTAACAAGCGATTTAACCATGATAGGTCGGGTCAACATTGGACAATAACATTTCGTGACAATAAGTCCGAACGAGATCCGCAACGAGAGTTTAAGCTAAGCCACAGCGACACGAAAGTATATCGCAATGTCTCAGCAGCGCTCCTAAACACATTTGTGAAACATCATATCTGCACAGTCACTTAGTACCCGTATATGTTAACACCAGCGTGCAAACAATTGTCGTCGGCGCCCGGTGGCGACCCGTATCGTCCCTCCCCTCCCTGTGTACGTATTGATGCTCTGGCTCGGCTGGCTGGCTGGCTCGCTCAGCGCTGCGGCGAGGCTTACCACGAACATGCAACAGACGTCAGACACTGAGTTCAATTGAGGCAGTAGGTTGTATACTGGGTTACTTTCTGCGCCGGCCCTTGGGTTTCGGTTTGGGCGGCGGTAGAAGACCGAGGTCCCTGAGACGCGCCTTCTCCAGCAGCACTCGGCGCAGGGTGCGCAGTGTCTCCGGACTGGCGCCCTGGCCCTGGCGCACGTGTTTTCCGGTCAGCGTGCGCGGCGCCCGCCGACGCTGCGGCGGCTCGTCCGCCGAACTAGACGTACCGGGCGTGCCGGGCGTGGCCGGCGGCGTACCGGCCGAACTCGAGGCCGGGCTGACGGAGCCGGGCCGCCGCGGGGGCGGGCACGCCGCCGCCGATGGCGACAGTTTACCCGCGTGCTGGTGCCGCAGCGCCTGCTGCAGCTGCAGGCTCTGCATCATGGCGCAGTATTGCAGGTACAGCAGCGAAGGGTACGCCACAGGGTCGGTCTGCTGCTGCTGCTGCATCATCAGCATCTGCTGCATCAGCTGCGGCGGCGGCGGCAGCGTCGGCGGCGGCGGCGCCGGCTCGCCGTCCTCGTCCCTGCCGGCGGCCTCGCCGTCAGCTCGGCTCGGCGGCGGCGGCTCGTCGGCCGCCTCGCGGTCCCGCAGCAGGCTGACCGTCTCCTCCAGACGCTGCCGTTTGAGGCGCGCCCGCGATCCCTTCTGGGCGTGTTTGCGCAGCTTGTGGAACGGGATGATACTGTGCGAGGGCCGCACCAGGCGCAGGTCGTGCGGCGTCTCGTCCAGCGGCTCCGGCTCCGGCGGCGGCCCCATCGCCCGGTCCAGCAGCGCGTTGTGACCCGTGGTGATGCTGACATCAGGCGAGGGCGACCGGCGCGCTGCCGAGCGACTCAGGTCCATGGGCGCCTCCTGGTCGGCGGCCGAGAGCGCCGAGAAGGAGCCATGTCCGCCGGCGGCGAGCTCCCGGAAGGTGCGGCCGTGCAGCGCCGAGTACCGGCCGCCGGCCAGCGCCGACTGCAGCGTCAGCGCCATCGTGCACAACCTCTGAAATGGACATACACAATGATTATTTACTGAGGCGTACGAGGACAACATAAGTGCGCTGCTTTCATTTACTTACTTGAACGGGTCTCTCAATAAAGCGTGGAGAAATAGGTAAATGATATTTTTGTGTTAGTTGCACTGCTCACGAATGTGTAATTATTTTAGCCAGTGGCATTATTGTATTCTTTTTTTAATTCTAAGAACCTAGGTATGCAGCATGCAGCATCCATTGTATCGAAGAAAATATTATGTAGGTAAACAGCGCCTTTTTACATCATGCTTCTCAATTTTGTTGCGCTATAATTAATGAGCAAATGCCATAAATTGGAATAGAATACTGTATTAGAATAAATAAGCACTAAAATGATATCACTGCTCCGTGCCATATCTCACCTGTGTCGCCTTGGTCTCCGGCGCGTCGGTGCGCGCTGCTGGGCCGTCCCGTCTCCGTCACCCCGTTCGGCCCCACTGCCGGCCGGCGCGGCCCCACCGGCCGGGCAACCCTCTCCCGGCGGCCGGGCCGGCCCGCTCCACCCCTTCGGCCAATCAGCGCGCCGGCCGCGGCATTCTCTTCGCTTCAGTTACTTTTAGCTTTTTTACCCACGGTCCCACGCCCGGCCGGCGGAGCGCCGCCCCCGGGCCGGAGTAAACAGGCCCACCGACGCCCGAATCGATAGCGCCGGGGTCAGGGGCCCCGCAGCCAACACAGGTTGTTTACGGGTGCGCCGCCGCTCGGCCGGTGCGTTTTGATAAGAAGCTAGGAAGGGTCAGTGGCCGACGTCGGCGTCTTGGCGCGGTTTTCCGCCGGTAAGCCGTCCGTGCCGTCTGTCGATGTGACCGCCCGCAGTGCCCGTCCCGGACCACGCGGCAGCTCAGACCGGCCGGGTGGCGCTAGTCTCTTGGCATCGGACCGCTGCCACAGTGGAATGCTGATCACTGTTTTGTTGCGGCATGATCAAAACAGGCATTGTTTCCCCACGTTGCCTGTCCCCCAGGGAAGGGTGGGGCGCTGCGACACCCTTCCTGCCGGCGGCCCGCGGCACGCCCCCTCTGCTCGGTCTGTCGGTCCCCTCCGGCTCCGTCCGCGGGCGATACACTGCGTCGCGCGTGGCCGCGGCGCCCGACCCTCCCGCGCCGGTCGGCGGGACGTTTTGTCGCCGCGGCAGTGACTAACGACCGACGGGTGGGTATTTTTGGGGGCGTGACGGCCACCCACTGCCGCGGAGCTGTCGCCACGTCCTCACCACGACAGGAGCAGTCTGCAGGGCGGGCAGGATGTCGCCGATCGCCCGCCGACTCCCACTGCCGTCACCCCTCCCCATCCGCTCACCTCAGCCGGCCGGGGAGACTTCAACGCAGCATCAGAGAGGAACCCAGCTAACGGGACTGTGGGAGAGCTTCCAGGCTCACGGGTAATGGGTGCTTAGCGAATTGAAACCGAACTTATTGCGTCTTTGCACGAACTTTTTGCGTTTTGTTTCGCGTTCTCACATATTCACATATTTTCTCCACTTGGCGAGCTTTTTACTTGTGAAAGTTTGTGCAATCTGCCTTGCGCATTGCCCATTCCGTCTATGTAAAGTATGGTATTTATGAGACTGGCGCCTTTATTACAGATCATGTGTCAAATAGTTCCTGAATCATTTATCTATGTTGATTAGACACTTTATAGTTTTCCTAATAATATTCCATTCATTGGTTATAGATTTGTAATTCCATTATTATTTAGAGGCTCATAAATGCCCCACACATAAAACGCATAAACGTTCAAACGGCTCCAAACATGCCGTGCCATTGAAATGTGAACTTATATCGGTAATTTCAATAAACTAAATA